TTTTCATAAGATTTTAAATTTCTTTGTTGAAATGAGAATTTGTTGATTTCTTTGACAGCAAGTACTTTTGATATAGGATTCATGACAAGTTCAGTTAGGCCAATGACACGTTAAGTAAAGCCAGTGACAAGTTCCGATAAGGTTTTCATACAATTTTAAATTTCTTTATTGAAATAAGAATATGCAGATTTCTTTGACAGCAAACACTTCTGATATAAGATTCATGACAAGTTCAGTCAGACCAATAACAAGTTAAGTAAAGCCAGTGACAAGTTCCGATAAGGCTTTCATACAATTTTAAATTTTTCTGTTGAAATGAGAATTTGCAAATTTCTTGGACAGCAAGCACTTCTGATATAGGATTCACGACAAGTTAAGTTAGGCCAATGACAAGTTAAGTAAAGCCAATGACAAGTTCTGATAAGGTTTTCATACGATTTTAAATTTCTCTGTTGAAATAAAAATATGCAGATTTCTTTGACAGCAAGCACTTCTGATATAGGATTCATGACAAGTTCAGTTAGACCAATTACTAGTTAAGTAAGACCAATGATAAGTTCTGATAAAGTTTTCATACAAGATAGAAGGAATATAAAAGTTCAGTTTGTCCACACTCCAAAAACTTCCCAACAAAATAAAGCTTATCATTGAACTCACACATTGCCATTCATTTATAAATAAAGAGAACATAAACTCAAAGAACAAATCAAAGAACATTAAAGGGGAACCCTCTGTGTTTAGCTTCGTTCTCTACTTACAAACCAATCAATGAATGAAGGGGAAGAACAGAACAAAGAAGACAATATTCGAATCCCCCTCTTTGGGTATGGATTCGACAAAGAGTGAATCAAAAGATGATACACTTTCATCTCAAGTTACAATATATGGAGAGCATCCGATACAGAAGATGAGAACGATTCCTTCCTACTAGCAGTGCCCGCCATCGCCACCGCAACTATCTTCAATTTCAACCCAGAACTCGGTGACAAAAGGGAACCCAATTCCTTACCTGAGCTAGGCTTCGACAATGTCCAGTAGAAGTTTTGTTGAGCTTGATTCTTGTTTGTCTTGGTATCCTTCATCTTAGTCCCATCATTTACTTGCTTTGGGACAAGAAATAAAGAAGACGGACACAAGAACAAAGAAGATAATAGAGAAATAAGAGAGAAGAGAGAATCGGGAGATATGGGGGTGGAGATGAGGAAATGGGGTTAGGGTAGAAGGAGAAGGGAGAAGGAAAGAGATAGACGAAGAGAGGGAGAGGAAAAGAAGAAAAGAGATTGGAAAAAAAAAAAAAGCAGATGGGCATTTTTGACTTTTGCCCAACATTTCATAATTCATATTTAGGACCCGGTCTTTGGTAGCAATTTTGTTAATTCAGGGAACCATTTTGTCATTTTATATATTCAAGGGTCTTTATTTACCATTTTCCCAAAAGAAAACCCCGCCGACACCATAAGAAGCCACCAGTCCACCACCCATATAATCGAAAGCAAACTGAATCAAAACTAAAATCATGAAACAAACCAAGAATTAACAAACACTAACAACCAACCATTGATTAAAAAAATGAAAAGATGGAAGCAACAGATAAAAAACAATCAAAGCAACGAAAAGGGGAAAATGAAGCAAGAGATCAAACCCAACAAACAGAAACGAGAACATAAAAAGGAAATCAAAGAGGGTAAGCTGAAATGATTGAAGGCTTGAGGCGGGGATAGCATTACTGTGAAAACAAAAATCTTGATTGGCCATGGTGGCTATCACATTATGACCATAACATTAATTTGTCCTAAAGTTTTTGGTCTGGTAGAATTTGTCCAAAATTTTTTATATTCCAAAGTCGTGTGGCTTTCCACTTTCCTTTCCATTTGTTGCCTCGTGTATGGTGGTGTGCGATGACTCACCCACCTGGCCAGGCAACCTATAGTGGGCCCTGGAGGGCCTATAATATCTCTAATCCTTATCCTAACCGACTTCAACAAATGGGGAAAAAACAAGGAACGAAAGTCCTTGTCCTAATTAATAATTATCAAAAGCATTCATAATTTTATGCAACTCGATTGAATTATATTTGGTTGTTTAATGACTTTAACAATGATATATTACGCGATTAGGTGAACCTTGTGGTTCAGATGTCCTTTTATGCCCCATTATTTCACGATTTCTTAAAGTCTTTTTAAAACCATATGAGATACTCTCACACAATTAATTTATAGATAACAAAAAATCATTAAAAATAATTAAAAAGAAATAAGTATGTTAACAACATAGTTTTATTTTTAAATATGATCTTATAATAAACAAAAATAGATAAAAGAGAATGCATAAAAAAAAAAGTGATGAAAGACAACGTAACAAAGGCAAGAGAATAATAACTACTGACAAAATTGAAAAAAAAAATTACATTTTAAATTTGAAGCTTATAAATAAGATAGAAGAGAATATCATATTATAATATTTATTTTGTAATATAAATTATATTATAAAATAATAAAGTAGTTCTTACAGTTAAGAGGGGAGGAATTAATATTTGAAAATTCCATAACATTATGCCTCACTCTCCACGCACCCGTGAATTCTTAAACCAAGGCTGTTCAGCCGAGAACGCTTCAATTCAAGCACGAAGTTATACAAGCCCAGAGGAAAATTTATCAACAAACTTTGAGCCTTGTTAATTTAATTTTCAATTTTCAATTTTTTTTCACTTTTTTAAAGTAAAAAATTGTTTGGTAAATAGTTTTTAATTAAATATTTAGTAATAAAATGTTATTTTTTATCCAACAAAATAGCATTTTTGTTCTAGAAAGTCAATTTTTTATTGTAAGATCATTTTATCTTTGTAAACTCTAGATATTCTTATACTGACGGCTCATACACTGGGGAAAAAAAACAATGGAGCAGTGAATTCTATTGCAAATCGACAATAAAAAAATTTTCATCATTAATCCAGTCACACAATAATTAGCAACAACAATCAGCAACGAATTTATTTCGGCACAAAATAACTAGCAACAAAAAATGTTCCATTGCTAATTTTCATTGATGGTCCCGCTAATGCTTGTTGCTAACTTTAAGAATAATCATATTGAATGGGTTAATCTAGGTCATCTCGGATCAGGCTTCCCAATTCATGGTTTAACCGAATTAGCCAAGTGATTAATTCATCAATTTTCAGTTTGCTTTTCAATATAATGCTTAAATAAAAGAACTATAAACTTATTATCACCTTCGATTCTAATTATAAGATCTTGTTTATAGTCTTTAAACGAGATCTTATAATAAAGACTGGAAGTAATATAACTAATTTAAGTACATTGTTTCAAAGTTTCATAGAAAATTATGAAATTTTAAATTCAATTCCTCATAAAATTTAAAGTGGTTACCAACAAATCCCCCCTCAAAAAAAAAAGAAAGCTTCCATGAGTTGAAAAGGAAGTGTTTAAATAGAAACAAAACTATAATTTCATAAGTGTTTTTATGGTTTATGAAATAAATATGTAGCGGAGTTTATCTCGTTTTGTGAACAAGTATTTTTTAGAAACACTTTTGAGAGTTGTCAAACTCCCCCAATTAAGTCACCATAACTCATAAAAGGCACTATAATCTTGTACTTTCGGAGGGAAAACTACAAAACATTTTGCGATAGCCAAGTAGCCAACCCTAAACACCAAAGGTTGGTGGATCTGCGGCCGAAACTAGAGTTTGGTGGATCAAATGATGCCCCAAAAATATGTGAACATGGGTAAAGTGTTGTACAAGTTTTTTTGAAGTGTTAGACATGTTTGTGAAATTTCTTACATGTGTTTGTTTTCTAACCAAATGGAATTTCTTATATTCAAACTTCTATTTTTCCAAGGAAAATACCGAAGGAATAACGCGGCATTTCGCGTTTACCAAAAAGGCTCACTCAGTTGACTGCCGGAAAAAAGGTTCTCTTGTTAGCCTGCTTCAGATCCTCCAATTAGAGCTCATCATTTTCTGATAATTAGTCTTTTTTTAAATTTTTTGGCCGCTTCAGATAATTTGTCATTAGTCATGCCAGCATAATATAAACAATTTTTAATATAAAACTAAAAACTAAAAATATGTATCTTTGGCCAAGAAAAGGCTACTAATACGCGATCAACCCTAATATTAGTTAATTCCTGCCATACCCAACTAGTTTAGTACTGGCATATAACTGCTTAATTTTATGCATGAATATTCTTTACTGTTGTTCCCTCTGGGGGCTCCTCTTATTAAAATTTACATATAACATGTTCAGGACCACACAACACTGAAATAAATTACAATTGATGTAGTGTGAAACCATTTTTATGTGTTTTTTAATTGATAACGATAATATCATACTACCTTTGGTCCTAATTATAAGACCCAGTTGACTTATTTGAGGAGATTAAGGAAGTAAGTTAAGTTAGTTATTTGTAATAAATAAGTGTTGTTATTCCTAAAATATCCTTGCTAATTAAGTGTACTGGTTAGAACTATCATTACTAGAAGGATTATCTTGGAAAAAAATGCATAAATATAAGAGAAAAAATAGATTGGGGTCTTATAATTAGAACCAAACAAAAAATCAAACGGGGTCTTATATTAAGGACCGGAAGTAGTATTAATTTTTTTTCCAGCGACCATCTTAATTAAAGCAACACCGTGAGGGCGTGCACCCGAGTACAAGGGATTAATAACTCCTTATCTTGGAAAGAACGCACCTCAAAAGATGCTTATGCGCAGCGCATGTCCACGCTCCACAAAGTTACATTACATTCTATCTCGGCTTCTCTCGTTCCGTTTTTTACCCTACTTCTCCAAAGTATCCCTTCTATATTCATACATTGACCAAATTGCCCCTCCCTCCGTTGCGATTCAAGCAGCCGGCAATTCGGACCCTTTATTGAAATAGATATACCGGTCAACGGTCCCACTATTAAAACAGTGACCTCCTCGTCTCCGTTAGTTAATTAATTACCCAGCCCAAACATCCCTTGGAGACACAAAAACACACACCGCGCAGCTAATTAGCTATGAGAATACCAGAAGCTCTTATTCTTCTTCCTCATGGCCAAAATCATTCGCAGTACCACTGAGAGAATGACTCGTTTTTGCCGGAAAATCGTTCCGGTTAATGTCCGGTGGAGCGTCCTCGAGAAGGTATCCTTTATTGGCCGTTTCTTCCAGTTCATCTGGGATAGGATTCTAGTCTGCTCCGTCGGCAAACCGGGCCGTTACCGGAGAATACCTCTCCAGGACTATCCTTTGATGCCGGCCACGGCGACAATCAAAGTCGATGAACTGGTCGGAGATCAGCCGTCGGTTACCGGCAGTGGTGGGTATGATGCTGATTCAGATTTGGTGAGCCTGAAGATCAGTTTATTGGGTGATTGCGATATTGGGAAAACTTCGTTTGTGGTGAGACTTTTTTCACTTTTTCCTGCCTGATGATATTGTTTGGTATAATATATAATAATTTATAATCTAACTATTCACGAGTTGAAACGATCCAAGACATGATATTGAAGTCTCCGTAATCCCTACCACTTCTATTTTACGAATGAACAATGAGTTTCAATCACCTCCGGCAAAATAAACTAGTATTAGCGAATATTATATGATATTAACATTTCACTTAACATAAAACTCAATGTTTTTTTGTTTTGTTGAAATAGTTCTTTTTTGGTTTTAATTTCTCAGATCAAGTATGTAGGGAATGAGCAGGAAAAGAGGAGTTTGCAGATGAAAGGACTAAATTTAATGGACAAGACCTTGTTTGTTCGAGGAGCTCGAATTTCTTTCAGTATATGGGATGTTGCAGGTGTGCTTTCAAAATTCAAAATCAAACTTTACTTTCCATTTTTACTTTTTGCATTTTCGAATCAGTTCTCAGATTCTAAAACAATATACAATGCAGGTGACAAAGGATCATCAGACCAAATTCCCCTGGCTTGTAAAGATTCGGTAGCCATTCTGTTCATGTTCGATCTTACCAGTCGATCTACACTGAACAGGTAGGCCATATAATAATAAGTTCAGATTCGTTGCGGTCAATTTACATTATATAATTGAAAGCAAAAATTAAACTGATATATTACAACGAATAGTTCATGATACTTTGTTATAGAAAATCTATTTGCAGTTTTAAACAATCAATCTGGTCAGTTTTTGCAGAAACTTCTGAAAATTTTTCGTATCGAAGGTTTTTGAATCTCCCTTTCTTTTACCGCGCTTTATGGTGCGATTTGGTGGAGAATCAATTTGTGAACTTGAACTATGAAGTTAATGATTTATGGATTGTAATTGTTTCCTTTTTGCAGTGTTGTTGGATGGTTTAGTGAGGCAAGAAAGTGGAATGAGGTAACCAAATTGAATTTTGCAAAGCTAATACTATTTTCCTGACTAATTGTGTGGATAAATAAGTTAGACGACTCTTTTTCGTAAAGTTAATATCACTAAAAAAAGTTTTGATCCCTCGTAGGGAAAAAGATTAGGGTGGTACAAAGAGTCTATCATTCATCACCGTTGTGAAATAGAAAGGATTGAGTGAGATCATTTTTTTTTTTTTAAAAAAAAAAAAGGAATAGGATGCCTCTCCAAGCAAGCTTAAAATAAAAAAATGATCTGTTATTTAAGTCTACACTGTTGATATTTTGTACTCCTCCGGTCCTAATTATAAGACCCAATTGACTTATTTGAGGATATTAAGGAAGTAAGTTAAGTTGGTTATTTATAATAAATAAGTGTTGTCATTCCTAAAATATCCTCGCTAATTAAGTATATTGGTTAAAACTATCATTACTAGAAGGATTATCTTAGAAAAAAATGCATAATATAAGAGACAAAATGGATTGGGGTCTTATAATTAGGACCAAATAAAAAGTCAAAGGGGTCTTATAATAAAGACCGGAGGAGTATTAATTTATTTCTAGGTCTTTTTTTTTGGTCCAAAATTTATTTCTAGGTCACGCGTGCATAATTTTGTCAATTTGAGCCCCATTAGGTTAAATATCTTGAAAATACGAGTGTGGTATAGATTTTTTTTTAAATATTGTACAAAGTTTGAAAAAAATTGTACCTATATATGCCTTCTTATGGATCATACATTATTATATAATTTTAGGGAACTAAAAAGAAGATTAAAGATCGACCATTAATACTAAATTTTAGTCATCTGGACTTCAGTTGTTATAAAATGGGTACGAGGGCTTGAAGTAATACAGAAATAAATAAAAAGAAGGAAAATGTAATATATAAACTCTTTATAATTTCATCTCATTTTCAATTAAGTTTTTTTAGCTCTTTTTCATCTCATTTTCAATTAAGTTATTGTAGCTCTTTTTTCCTTTTTGTTGAATTTTTATAGTTTCCTTAATTATAAATATTGGTTCCTATACTAATAATTTGCTAATTTGTAAGGGAAATATGATGTGGTTTTCACTCAGCAATATAATTACAACCTACATATAATAGTTGAATTGGAATTTGTGATCATTTTGTTTGAAGATTATGATGCATAAGCAGGCTTTTCTACATGCAGACAGCACTTCCTATTCTGATAGGAACAAAATTTGATGATTTTGTTAGACTCCCCCCTGACGTGCAATGGACCATTGTCACCCAGGTATGAGCGAAGGAAAAAAGTCTTCCCATTAGGCGTAATATTGTTTTTAATTTGATGTTCTTAATTTAAAAATTGAAAGATAACATGTTTTTTGAAAGTGAAAGACTTTAGGTTTTTAGTACTTCATTGTTACGCGCACACACAATTGGGGGAAAAAAATTTTAAGATGAGTTAAAATGCATTTTTGTTTCATAAATATTTTTTGAAAAAAGTATGAACATCTTAAAGAGAATTGTAAAACAAGTATTAGTATATTACCCATCATCTTTTAGAATTAATTTAATATTGCCCCTTTTTAAATAGTAGACATTAAGTCAGTTATTTTAAATCATGAAAAAATTTTGACCAAAGGTTAACATTATATTAAATTACTCTCTTTAGTTCAAAATATAAGTATCAAATAACTAAATTAGGCAGCTCAAAAATTTAGTTGAAATTAGTTTAAAACAATAAATATGTAAAAAAATGCAACTTATTTTTCTAAAACACTCTTAATTTATGGATGGATAAGTGGTGGAGAGAATGAGTGGAAAAAGAAATGAGAGAGAATGAGTGGAAAAAAAAAGAGATATATATAATTAATTAAGGATAGAAATGAAAAAATGCATAAAATAATTAAACAAATTCAAATTAATGTTTATAAAAAAACCAAAGTCCCTTCATAGATTTGATACTTATATTTTGAATAAGGAGAAGTAGTTTGTAATTTTGTTTAAGTTACTCGTAAATTTATGGGATTCTCAAATTAGTTGCAATATTTGGCATGCAATGCCGTAAAATATTGCAGGGGATGAAACTAATTAAAGAGATACAAAGTGTATTCAGTTAACTTTAGCTGACCACCTTGCCAAAATTTTTCACGGAATAAGTGGGAATTATCTTATCCTTGCTCACCCTTCACCTCTTGTTTTAGTTAACATTTAAAAAAAAGAAGTGTAGTCAATTATGGAATAATTATGATGAAGAATATATGTAGTAGTGGGTTGAAGTCTTCTCTTGTTTTGATGGGTTCAAAGAGAAAGCCGTGTATGGAATCTTGGCACTTTGGAAATCACCCAAGTCTTTCCGTTTCCGCGTCGAGCACAAACACGGGGCCCCACATGCCTGATAAAAGTCATAAATTAGCATTCTTCAATTACTTTTAGGCCATAAAGTGTGATCTTTTGTGACGGCAGGCGAGGGCATATGCGAGGGCAATGAAGGCGACGCTATTTTTCTCGAGTGCAAGACACAACATTAATGTGAACAAAATCTTCAAGTTTATAATGGCCAAGCTCTTCAACTTGCCCTGGAAAGTGGAGCGAAACCTGACGCTGGGAGAGCCCATCATTGACTTCTGATTCACAATTGTGTTTGTATGTGTATACTGTATATATAGCACCGGAAGCAGCAAACAATAACCCAACATTCACTCACTTGCCTAACTCTTTACTTCTGCTCATTTTTAACTCCCTTCTTTTGTGCTTGGAGAGTACTACTACTTATTATCCCAATCCAAAGCAAGCAAATATACAGATATCAACATGACACATCTTTCTTGCTCTTATATTCGTATGTCTGATGTTCTCTTCGGGGAAATAAATCATTGTTAATAATGTCAAAACAGAAAAATTCCTGATCCAAATTTTGGCTGGCAGTTATGAGCTGTGCCGCAGTCAATTTTCATCATTATTAGCGGGAGCGATATATAAATTCATGTGGATAATGAGATGAGAATGAGATTAGCCCCACAAATTTTTCGTTTTGGATGGTTCTGAAAGCTTGGGGCAGAGAAAAGAAGAGTCCAAAAACCTTATCTCGGATTTCTAACTTGGGGCCTCAACAGCGCCAAACGTTATCCACAAGCTCCGTATTCTTCAACACTTGGTTTTTATCACTCGCAATGACTTGTTTCTGTAAAGTCGAACCTCTGGAGAACGCAATATCCCATAATCTCTATTGCAGTTAGTGAGATTCGAGAGAAGATGGCTATTGCATAGAAGCTCTCCCTAGTTTCGGGAATGGCGACCCATCACTCGAGGCAGTCTCCGTGAACTGGTTCTTCCCTCTCTCTCTCTCTCTCTCTAGTATCAGATATTGTTACTGTAAACTCCCAATGGAGTGACATCAACATGCTTTCTATAAAATCTGACATGCTGGTTATAAATCAATTAGTCGTGTATTAATAGAGTGATGTCATTTTTAAAACCATCATGCAAGGGAATAGGAGTAATGCTTCCACAGAAAATGAAGACGTGAGAAATATTCAGCATACCAGTATTCTTTTTCGGCCCCACTCATGAAGTGTCAGTGAAAAAGAGGCTCCTGTGGGATGTTAGATAGCTCTTAAGAAATTTGTTAGTGGCCTTCCTAAGAAATTTGTGTTGCTCGAAAAGCCATTACCATTATGGGATCACCTCCTCCCAAGTCTCTTAGCAATCCCTTCCTGCCTGCTTCCAACTTCGCATCAAATTTAAATTTCTTCAGTTCCTGACAAATATGCGGAAAAAAGATGTCATGTTCTAACTTCTCTTTGTTGATGAAGTTTCCCAAGCCCGCCAAAATGACGCCTCATCTAACTTTAGCACCACAAAAGCCTCATTCGTAGCAGTAGCCCATTGGAAAAAAATTCTAGAACTGTGCGGCCCAATCAATAAGTTAAACAGTTGAAGAAAATATTCATATTATTCCATTTTAATTAAACCATACCCAGTTTCATCTCATCTTATGCAAAATTATATCATGAAACAACACTTACATTCCTCACCATATAATACCACACAAAATATGAACTATAATATTTTATCTGGTAGAATTAAATTAATAGATTTTATTCCACCAAAATTCATTGTTATTTCTGGCAGGTATGCAAGAGTCCTCAAAAGAGAAAGAAGTACTTGGGAACACCGGCAAAATGGTGAAGTAACGATCGTAAAGAAAGAAAATTGCGTAAGAAAACTGAACAGTGAAACAGTTGATGTATAATTGCCAACAACAGAAATAAAACGTCATAATAAACCTCGTCCCATTACCCAACTCAATCAGTCAGCCGTGGCACATAACAGCCAAATTATCGTCCTCAATTATTGAAATCTCATAACGAACAGTGTTTTGAGACATTATCCTTGGCCTACCAAGAACAGACACTTATTCTCCAAAAGCATAACTCAAATGCATCACCCAAGAAATACTAACTAATCTGTATAAAGATAATGTTTCCTCAGCAGTATTATCTTTATTATTAGTTTCCCATCATTATCTACAGTGCACAGTACCGGATCATCCTAGTTTTACCAAAATCCAGCTGTCACATCTTTCAAAATCAACTTGCTTGGACCCTGGCTGAGAAGATCAGGGTGGGTTGAACGAGGAACCTCAATTCCTCAACACTATTGCTTTGCCTGCCACACACCAAAAGGAAAGAAAAGAGAGAGAGAGTATGAGGGAAGACGAGAAATCAGAATAATAACTTTGAATGGGATTCTTATATATAGTTTATCAATATCAATTATAATGTAAGTATAAAAATTCATTAAATGTGATCTTGCTCAATAAAGATATCTAACATATTTACGTCTTTTGTGGTTAATTAGAAGCACTACTACAGAGGAATAACCAAAGCATATTCGCTAGTCATACAGTGTGGTCAACTACTGGACTTGGAAGGGGAATAATGGAAGCGAAAATTACAATTCAAAATTAGCGAAGCTAGCAATTCAAAGTCCTATACCTAATCAATCTTTCAGATCACCTAACCGCAGAACAACCATCCGAAGGGTAGGCAAAATATAAAATAATGCATCACCAACCACCAAATCTCCCCTAAAATTTCGTTTTCATTTGTAAAGGCAGTTTGTTATATTAAGCAATTTCTCTTTTCAATGCATACAAAATAGTACACGTACACATATAATATTTATTATGCTCATGTTATCATTTCTCAATAGTGTTTTTACTACCTCCTATTCTTAATATAAAACATAGCTAACTAATTTGAGGAGATTAAAGAAGTTAATAAATTACTTATAACATATGATATCTTTTTAAAATACTTGTGTGTATCATTAGTCTATACATTAATTTGTAAGTGAGTCAAATTAATTTGGAGAAAAACAATAAATAATAATATTTTAAACTAATTTAGTAACTTCCTTAATATCACTAAATTAGTTAGCCGAGTCTTATATTAAAAACCAGAGGTAATATTTTATTTTATTTTTTATCTCTAAAGACATGAGGAGTTTTTCCCCCCTTCTATGCTTGATATTCCAGGGACCAAAGGAGTCAGTTAGGTATAAGTGGATCAGGAACCGAAATGATATCCCTCTCAACACTAACACAACTGAAACGCATTTTGGAGTATCGGTTCTTGTTACTTTTATTAAAATAAAAGAGAGAAAAGTTTCAACCAATAATAATAATAATAATAATAATAAAATGAGAGGAAGAAAAGTTCAGCAATCAGCATCCTATGGTATTCTCCTCAAAACAGAGCAACTTTGTATCCCTTGAAACAATCCAGGAAGCCAAGATACTCTAATTACAGGATACGGTTAGATCTTGTAGTTCTGAGGTGGTGGACGATGATAAGATGGGTCATGTAAGGCCTAGATTCATGTAATCCTTTTGTCTTCCCCTTTTGAATCAATGGAAAACAAAAATTTCTACACCCTGAGGTACCAGCTAACCACCATACATCCAAAACTAAAATATGTCACTTTAGAGGCACCTGAGTCTTAACCTAATATCTCACGAGAGGAAGAATGGTTAGCATTTTACTGTTTCTTATAAAAATTGTTTTTTCAATTTCTTATCTTTCCTTTTGGAAGTACAACTGCAACAGTTGCTATAAAACCAATTATATATATATATATGTCAACCTAAAATAAAACACAAACTTGACCAGAACCAGAAAATACCTGTGAATACAAGAAGGTTCCAAAGATAGCAATAGCAGCTCCAAGGGCATTGATGGGCTGAACCGGCGTGTGGAAGATGATGATTGAGGAGACTATGACAGAAATTCGTTTCATGGTGTTCCCAACGCTAAATGTCAAGGGAGAGATCTCATCCAAAGACATGTATGATACCTGATTATACAGATGATAGAACACACTCTGAGCCGCCACCCACCTGATGTTTACAATTAACAATAAAATGAAGAAGTGAGCACTCAAAATGACAGGCAAGGGGGGAGGGAGCAGGAATAATATATAACTCAAATCCAAGCAAATATGGCACTAATTTGCTGTTTCCTGTTCCGAATATCTACAGAACTGAAATGCAACAAGAGGAGGAGGAGACATTTAGCACAAATGAAGTGAATTAAACTGTACCTTTTACATAAACAGAATCATTTTCAAATGGTCAAAAACATTATTCAGTTCTTGTTAACATTCATAATTAACTATCGATTAAAGATTTGTTCCTCCATTCTATCTGAAGAACATATTAGCGAGACAATTACATTTTCATGCTCCTCATATAAGCTATCAGGTCTGTATATTAAGGACGACATGGTCCCCCATTTCAGACAGGAAATTATCCATCGGTCCTACAACTAACAAAAGAAACTGACTAGATAAATCCAATATAAAGAAGAGGGAGGAAAAAAACAGAACGAAGCTCAGCTTAAGTATATATACAATGAACTGACTAGATGACCTTCTAATTTGTCCATTAAGTTTATAGAAGTCATTCAAGAAGCTACCAAACATCTCTAGAAAACTTATAATTATGACAAACTGATGAAAAATTAGAAATGATCAATTACAAAAGTTGACTCGGAATGTAAAACACATAACAACTTTGCTCCAAAGGATGACCGACAAAAATATTAAAATTTGTTTGAAGCCAATAAGAAATTATGGCATCAACATTATTCCTACTGTGATATCAAACATAGTAGATAGCACATATAAACAGTCTGTAGTCATCTGGTGATTACCATACAAATTGGGGTCCAATTTGAGAGAGGGCTGTTTGCCATCCAGCTGCCCACATCTGTGGTCCCTCAACAGCAACTGCGAATGGTGCCAGAATTAAGAGAGACAATATAGACAAACAAGCATAGTAGTTCATTCCGCTAACAGACTTCCCCTTCATGCCGCGTTTTGAAAAGATGTTTCGAAACACAAATGCCAAATTCGAAATCATGGCCCCCATAAAACCTGCAGAACACAGCTCAAAGCAAATTCAGCAGGCTGAACACCAATCCTTTCAGAAAAGCAACCAAGAACAGATTCTGTCACAAGTAGCATCCTCTGATGAAATATTTATCCAAGAAACTGATTAAATAATGTGCTAGCAAACAAGGAAAACATAAGATATTGTTTTAGCCGAAACAAATAGACATGAATTCTCTTTTCCTCAGCTTGACTTTGATATTCAATTTGATTCATCATGCTATGAAAGCAACAAAATGCAGGTGTCAAAAAGTCCATCTGAAGAAAAGTTACTTCATTACCAGTCATGTTGAAATTGAGCTCCGTCACAGCAGCAAGTGCACACCCCCCGATGATTGGCACTAAGGACAGATAGACTGGTACTGGGAAGGACTCGCCCAGAAGAAATCTGGAGACCAGTACACTGAAAGCAGGCTCACCACTCTTGATGATGTGGGTGAATGAAACTGCAACCTTTGAC